AAAGCCACATGCTTTTGTCAAAATACAGTTTTTAATACTTGTTTAAACAGTCATTATCTTGATTGTTTGATCCAATGTTGGACACAAGTCCGATTCGTTATTGTCACCCTCGTCATCGTTAATGTCACCCTCATCTATTTTAATAATTAGCGATAAAATTCTCATTTTTTATAATTATTTGCATCGTGTCGAAACCGATCCAATCAACACCTATTTATATTATGTTTTGGTAATAAGAGGTAAAATCGTCCTTTTTGTATGTAAAAAAACATTTATTTTATAATCCAACTCTATAACCCGGCCTGATAATAACAATCAACCAAATAAAAATCCCCTAAAAAAATAATACATAATTCATTTTTCAAAAATCTAACCCCTATCCAACACCATATTTTAGAATAATCAGTTCAGTTTGATTTTCTTCCAATTCCCTTGACAAATTTCAATTCTTTCCAAAACATTTTGTCAAAATACAAGAGTATAAAAACCCTCCAAAAGAAGAACTTAAGTAGTTAAAAAAAATACAAAATACACATGACCCCATCAACATATTATTATAATATTAATAGGTACTAACTACACTTGTCTTAAAATTGGACACCATTTTCTGATAATTTCATTAAGTTTTCCATCGATTCGGGTTTGGATTCTTGATGGACATAACTCTGATGCATACCCGTTTAGCTTTGCTGCCAATCTTGATTTCTCCAATTCTTCTTCCACCAAATTTCCAATCACTTGAACAAGGAATAGGTTTCGTTTTAGCTCAAATTTCTGCAAAAGTCAACATAAGTCAAAGATAGAATTGGAATCCAAGATTCTATTCCATGGCATGTCTGAATCCTTCAAATTATATGTTTCATGGATTTTACTCATTCTCCCTTTTTTTTAACTAAAAGACCAAATTACCCATATTATTTACCTTATATTTTGCTTTTTTTTCCCTCATCTTTATTTTTTCATGAAAAAAGACAAAAGACGTTATATTTGTTCATTTTTTCCAAAAAAGCCCTCAAGTTTGTGTCTTTTTCCGAAAAAAAAAACTATCAAACTTCTAAATGTTTCCAAATAAATCTTCTATTTTTTGGTTTTTTCTGAAAAAAAACTCTTATATTTTAAATGTTTTTTTCAGGAAATCTCTGATAAAGTCCCAATATTTTGGGTCAGTTTATAGTTTAATCCTAATTATTATTTATTGAACAAAAAAGTCTAGATTCTTTTATATTTTGTCAAAATTAACAAAAAAGTACTTATTTTTTTCAACCAAAAATGACAGATTATCATATAAATTTAAATAATCAGGACTTTTCTATTGAAAAAATAAATGTTAAGATTAAACTGCAAACTGACCTAAAATATTTGGATTTTTTTTAGAGATTTCCTTTATTTTTTAATGGAAATACTGGGACTTGAATCAAAGAAAAACAAACCTGGTGTTCAGGTTCTGCAGGATAAAAGTTTTCAAGCTGTTGAATTTGTGTAGTTACAATTCTACCCCTCGACTTAGCTTGCTCTCTCTCTCTTTGCTCACTACAGCCAATCTTGACTCTTCAGTTCCATTAACAAAAATAATAGACCTGTTTAATAACATTTGAGAAGTTGGAATTCTAATAATAAACAGAAAAAATAAATTGAAAATATAATGCTATAATTGGGTAGATATTTTGAAGTGAAAGTAGGAACTGATAATACACAGATAAATGAAAGAAATTACAAGGGCAATATGGTGACACCTATATTGGTTGCCAACATCAGGGCCTTGACTAAAGACTTGCCTAGAGTCATGGCTAGACCAGAAGACCTCCAAAAGTTGCCTGAAATTGATCACCCGGGGATCATATTCAATATGAAGAGAGTTCATGGAAGACCATGATGCAACTTCCATTAAAAAAATTTCAATAAATTGTCTCAAGATTTGTATTATATTATCAAGATCAAAATTCTAACAGATAAACATTATGAACCATTTGATGAACACAATGAAGATGGTTCTTTAATCTTTATATATCACTAAAGAGGTACATGAATCAAACCAAAATTCTTAGGTTTATACAAATTAATCATTTGTTGTAGTTATTATATATCAATCTTTATAGAAGCGTTGTTAATAAAAGAAATGGAGCCTTGTCAATGTCATACCTATATAAACACTCCAATTTCTTTGTTCCACATTAGGTTAAGCAAGGGTGGACGATGAGAAGCTATAAACAATGTCCCTTAACACATCATCATCACAAAATCAAATTGGAATTCTCATAATCAAGCTAAAGGTAAATATAAGAACTTTATCATAGAGAAGTACAATTAGGCATGGAATTTCGAAATTAACTTGAGGTCATCTGTAAAATAAATTGGAAATGTAAACGATACTGATTACAAAGGTAGAAAAATATACATACATGTACGGACTGTTGGTGATTTTAGTGTCACCATGTCATTTTAAGTAACTTGAACTAACATGTGAGCTAAGGGGTTCATGGTTTGTACTCTAAAGCATGTACGGGGTCGTGCGGAGTGCATGCATGTATAAGATTGTGCCAGAAGCCGGTTCGACGACTAGTCGGGGTCGGGGGCAGCGCCCCCGGGTCCGGGGTTTCCAAAGGGGCAGCACCCCTTTGGTGGGGTCTAGGGACAGCGCCCCTAGCGGGGTACAAGGGGCAACGCCCCAAAACCTCACCGAATTTTGCATGTGGGAACATAAGGGAAAATTCTATTTCTTGAGGGTGATTATGGTAAAACTAACGAAAGTCGTTAGTTTTGGTAACCCTAATCCGGATTAATATTACTTGCTTTCAAAGCAAGTAATGATGGCCCAACCCTAATGAAACCCTAATCGTGTTTAGTATATAAACAACTCTTCCTTTTCAGAAGACGGTTGTTCTTTAGCTGTCGTTTTCATAACACATTCACAAAACCCTTTATCATAATAGCTTACGTTTTCTCTGCCTAGAAACGTAGGTGTCCGCTCAGATTATCCTAGACTAAATTTCTTGTAACCCAGGCATAGGGTAGAAATATCAATTCGGAAAGTGATATCATGATCCAAGCTGGTATCCACATCTCCACCGCAAACCCTAAAATTCCCAACATTCGAACTGATATTTTCTGCTTCTGGAGATGGGTGACTCAATCCGCGAGATGACCACTAAGTTTGCCAAGTTGGAGAAGTTTGAAGGTGTCGATTTTAGGCGCTGGAAGAAAAAGATGCACTTCATGCTGACCACTCTGAAAGCAGCATACCTGCTGACTACTCCGAGACCACCAAATCTTGAGAAAGGTGTTGTTGAGACGGTTGAAGAGACAAGAAAGAGATAGAAGTGGGACAATGATGACTACATCTGCAAAGGTCACATTCTGAATGGTATGTCTGATGCTTTATTTGATATCCATAGTGAATCCTTGTGTGCTAAGGAGTTGTGGGATACTCTTGAACTGAAATACATTACTGAGGATGCTTTTAGCAAGAAGTTTCTGGTTAGTGACTTTAATAATTATAAGATGGAAGATTCAAGGTCTGTCACTGAACAGTACAATGAACTCCTTGGCATATATGGACAGTTTAAACTGTACAAAATGAATATGGATGAATCCATAGTTGTGTCCACTTTCATAGACAAACTGCCTCCATCCTGGAAAGACTTCCAACATAACTTGAAACATCAAAAGGAGGAATTGTCATTGGTTCAACTTGCTAGTCACATTCATATTGAAGAATCTCTTCGTGCAAAGGAAAGTGACAAATCTAAAAAACCCAAAGGAAAAGTTGAACCTGGACAACCCTCGATTCATATGGTTGAAAACAAACCAAGGAACCAGAACCACAAAGGGCATGAAAAATGTAAGCAGGAACATGTCCCAAGAAACTCCAATAAAAAGAGAAAGGATCTGGTTTGTTGGAGATGCAATCAAGTTGGACATTGCAAGCGTGATTGTCGTGTGAATTTAGGCAACAATGGTGTTGGAAATAGTGGAGCGAATGGGAAAGTGAACAGGTCTTCGGCCCAAGTAAAAGGAGGTTAGTTTTTTACTAGCTTTGATAATTCTAATGAGAATTATGTTTACTATGTTTCATTTATCCCTGAATCATTCTATGTGCACGATGATGATGTTTCTTGGTGGATCGACTCTGGAGCAACGAACCATGTATGCAAGGATAAACGGATGTTTGAAACATTAACTCCACTTGAAGATGGCTCGGTGCTGAAAATGGGAGACAATTCTTTTATTCCTATATGTGGTTTAGGTGTCGTGTGTCTTGAATTTACTTCTAGAAAGACAATTAGGTTATTTGATGTTTTGTTTGTTCCCAAGATTCGTAAGAATCTTGTTAGCTCTAGTTGTTTGAATGCTGATGGTTTTAAACATGTTATTGAGTCGGATAAGTTTGTTTTGTCTAACGGTGGAATATTTGTTGGCTTTGGATATTTAAATAATAGAATGTTTCGTTTGAATATTGTTAACAAATTATGACCTGTTCAGAATTCTGCATTTGTATCTTCTGCTTCTAATGTTGATAAATCTATGCTTTGGCATGTAAGATTAGGTCATGTCAACTTTAGAAGGATGCATGAGATGTCAAAAGATGGATTAATTCCATCATTTGATATGACATCTGATAAATGTAAAACTTGTATGCTTACAAAAGTGACAAAACAGCCCGTTCCTAGTGTCACTAGAAATTCTATTGTTTTGGAGCTTGTACACAGTGACCTGTGTGATTTTCATTCCACTCCTTCTTTAGGGAATAAAAAGTATGTAGTCACTTTTATAGATGACTGGACTCGGTTTTGCTATGTGTATTTGTTGCACTCTTAGTATGAGGCCTTAGATAAATTCAAAATATACAAAACCGAGGTAGAATTGCAATTGGGCATTCCAGCTAAATGTCTCATGACTGATAAGTGAGGTGAATATATGGATCCCATATACTTCCAATCAGTGGGTATCATTCATGAGACCATGGCACCTTACACGCCTCAACAGAATGGCATTGCTGAACGCAAAAATCGAGTTTTAAAAGAAATGGTGAAATCGATGTTGTCTTACTCGGGATTGAGTGAAGGATTTTGGGGAGAGGCCATGTTAACGGCCTGCTATTTGTTAAATAGGGTTCCAAATAAAAGGAACAAAACAATCCCATATGAACTTTGGTTCAAGAAAAAACCGAATTTGAGTAATATTTCGGGTTTGGGGATGTAGGGTAGTTGTAAAACTTACCGAGCCCAAAAAGAAGAATTTGGGAGAACATGGAATTGATTGCATATTCATAGGATATGCTAAACATTCCAAGGCATATAGGTTTTATGTAATAGAACCTAATGATTCGGTTTCAATTAACACTGTTATCGAATCGCGGGATGCAATTTTTGATGAGATGAGGTTTTCATCGATTCAAAGGCCTAAGGATCTGACTTTTGATGCTAATAAAGAGCAAAATTCAGAAAGTCAAGATGGTGGTGTCGTGCAAGAACCACAAAATATCCGTAGAAGCAAAAGAGGCCAAATTGCTAAGAATTTCGGATCCGACTTCCAACTGTACTTGGTAGAAGGGTCAAGGGATAAAATTAATCTTGAATACTCTTATTTCTATAGTATTCAATATGATCCTAAGACTTATCAAGAGGCCATGGAGTCTCGGGATAGTGGCTTTTGGAAGGAAGCAATTGATGATGAAATGTCATCAATGCTTGAGAACAATACATGGGTTTTGTCTGATTTGCCTCCGGGTTCTAAACCTCTTGGTTGCAAATGTATTTTCAAAAAGAAAATGAATGTTAATGGGACCATTGACAAATTCAAGGCCCGGTTAGTCATTCAAGGTTTTAGACAAAAAGCCGGTATTGACTATTTTGATACGTATGCTCTAGTAGCACGTATTTCTACTATTAGATTGTTGGTTGCCTTGGCAAGTATCCACAATCTAGTTATTCACCAAATGGATGTGAAAACAGCCTTTTTAAATGGCGATCTTGAAGAGGAACTTCACATGAAACAACCAGAAGGTTTCATTATACCCGGTAAAGAGCATATGGTTTGTAAACTTGTCAAATCTTTTTATGGGCTGAAACAAGCACCTAAACAATGGCATCAAAAATTTGATGAGGTGATTTTGTCTTTTGGTTTCAAAACAAACCAATGTGACAAATGTGTTTATAGTAGATTTGATGATGCTACTAGAGCTGGAGTGATCATTTGCTTATATGTAGATGACATATTGATTTTTGGCACCGACCAAAATCAAGTGGATGAAACAAACAAATTGTTGTCATCCAAGTTTTCCATGAAAGATTTAGGAGAGGCTGATGTAATTCTTGGAATAAGAATTAAGAGGATGAACAAAGGATTGGTAATGACTCAAAGTCATTATATTGAGAAAATTCTCAAGCGGTTTAATACTAAGTGGAAATTCAATCGTTACGATATTTTCATTATATAGTAGTTTGGTTTGTTGGTGATAAGGTTACGATATTTTCATTATGTACTAGTTTGGTTTGTTGGTGATAAGGTTATGTTTGTTCAAGGGTTACACTAAAATGGGGGAGGATTGTTGGTGATTTTAGTGTCACCATGTCATTTTTAGTAACTCGAACTAACATCTGAGCTAAGGGGCTTCATGGTTTGTACTCTAAGACATGTACAGGGGTTGTGCGGAGTGCATACATTTATAATATTGAGTCAAAAGCCGTTTCGACGACTAGCGGGGGTCCGGGGGCAGCGCCCCCGGGTCCAGGGTTTCCAAAGGGGCAACGCCCCTTTGGCAGGGTCTAGGGGCAGCGCCCCTAGCAGGGTCAAAGGGGTAGAGCCCCTGGCTGGGAACATAATGGAAAATTCAATTTCTTGAGGGTGATTATGGTAAAACTA